TATATTTCTATGTAAAACTTGGGTCGGCCATTTTGGCCCCACCCTAGCCCCGGGGGTCATGATTTGAACAAACTTGAATCTACACTACCTGAGGATGATTCCACATGAGTTTCATCTTTCCTGGCCCAGTGGTTCTTGAGAAGAAGATTTTTAAAGATTTTTCCTACATATTTCTATGTAAAACTTGGGTCGGCCATTTTGGCCCCAGCCTAGCCCCGGGGGTCATGATTTGAACAAACTTGAATCTACACTACCTGAGGATGATTCCACATGAGTTTCATCTTTCCTGGCCCAGTGGTTCTTGAGAAGAAGATTTTTAAAGATTTTTCCTACATATTTCTATGTAAAACTTGGGTCGGCCATTTTGGCCCCAGCCTAGCCCCGGGGGTCATGATTTGAACAAACTTGAATCTACACTACCTGAGGATGATTCCACATGAGTTTCATCTTTCCTGGCCCAGTGGTTCTTGAGAAGAAGATTTTTAAAGATTTTTCCTACATATTTCTATGTAAAACTTGGGTCGGCCATTTTGGCCCCACCCTAGCCCCGGGGGTCATGATTTGAACAAACTTGAATCTACACTACCTGAGGATGATTCCACATGAGTTTCATCTTTCCTGGCCCAGTGGTTCTTGAGAAGAAGATTTTTTAAAAATACCATTTATTTTTCTCTAATTCATAATTATCTCCCCTTGGACAAACTTGAATCCCCTTTACCCAAGGATGCTTTGTGGCAAGTTTGGTTGAAATTGGCCCAGCGGTTCTTGAGAAGAAGTCGAAAATGTGAAAAGTTTACGGACAGACAGACAGACGGACAGACAGACGGACGCTGGACAAAATGTGATCAGAAAAGCTCACTTGAGCCTTCGGCTCAGGTGAGCTAAAAACTCCAAATTAATTTAAATTTTAATAACTTGAACTTTTTCATGTGTAAAGACTGTTTTCTATTGTGATTTTAGTCTCATAATTTTACAAGTGTATTTTTTTTCCAAATTTTTATTATCCATTGTTGTCTGACCTCACGGGGTCAGACAGTACTAGATTTAACCAGGGCTTATTTATGCAGTCGTTCCATGAATTTGTTTAGATAGTTCGATTGTGGAAATTTCGATCCAAGCATAATCTTCATAGACGCATGTAATTCGTCCCAGGAGGAGATGAGCTTTTATTTACATTACTAAATGATCTTGTCTTTAGTATAATCCGTGCTTTATCTTTGAACATGTTCACTTCAGTTCTCTATAAAAATAATGCCTTAAATTACCGGTATTATATAAATCTCACTTTTTTGTGTTGTGTATAAAATATTAAGCCATTTTATATATGTTATTGTTAAATAATTGATTGCTTATTTTCAGTAAAATTATACATTGACATTAAATTACTCGTACCTAAACATCAGGCAAGAGGTCGAATATATTTTTTTCTTGGTTGCCCTTCTCCAAGTATTGTAAAAACTGATAATACAGTGTCTGAGAAAAATGCAGTGAAAACAGAAAAAAATGTCTTATTCAAGTTTGCTTATAATTCATTATCATGTTAATAGATTTGTTGCTGTATTGTTATACTTCCACTCCTATCCAACAATTATATTTTGGACGAGATTACATTTATTATCTCCTTGTTTCTTTTCCCAGATGCTTCAGTTCAAAATTTCATCAATCAATTACGTGTTAAGTAGAGAATCAGTGGAAATCAAATGGTTTGAGAAGCAATGAAAACTATCAGCAGGAGAATTAATGGTCAGCATGTGTAACGCTCTGTCAAGATTGTTATCATCAGGGTTGAGGTTATACGCGCCCATTAAGTGATCAATTAAGATCCTCCCATTGATTTTATCATTTACAACCTTCATTTTATTCTGTTTGTTTACTCAGTTAAATAAAAAATCAGTTAGGTCATTTAACATATAAAACACTTGAAAAATGCTGACCCGGGATCTTGAAATATCTTCAGCTTAAGTCGACCAAAATCTTTATTTTATATGAAACAAAATGATAAAATGTTGTAAAAGTCATGCAGACCAGAGGGGTTAAGGTTAAGTTCTTTGTACATTATTGTATACAATATTGTTTATGCATGGTCTCTTGAAGATATCTTATCAAACAAAAGAAATTATATAACATTTATAACATATTATTTTTTTGCACATATGAATTTAAGCAAACAAGGTCAGACAAGCTTTTTAGGAAAGCTAATACTTGTATTACACATAGATTCAAATTAAAATAACAACAAATTACAATGGATATTTAACACTCACACACCCATTCATACATTCATTTAGATTTTAACTTAATATGAAGGTTGCTTTATAATAATCAGTATATTATAAAATAATTTAAGCAAAACATCTAACATATACAGGTGTAATCTTACATTTGTTCAAATATATTTTTCCATAAATTCCATTGTTCTTCAAAATAAACATTTGGTGGTGTTTGTCCTATTATTCAGTTTAATTACAGGTAGTACGAACTAACAGTGAACGAGCTAGCTTTTTACTTAAGAAAATCGTTGCCGTGGTCGTTCTATGTTTATTCGATTTATATCAGTATAAGAGACAATATTGATGGGGTTATGTTGCAATCAAATCGTGAAAAAAGCCCCTTTTCTGAAATCTGCTTCGTTATTGTCTGACGTCTTGGCGTCAGACAGTACTAGATTTAACCAGGTCTTATTTATGCAGTCGTTCCATTAATTGTTTAGATAGTTCGATGGTGGAAATTTCGATACATGCATGATCTCCGAAGATGCATGTCGTTCGGTTAAGGAGGAAATGCGCTTTTAATCTTTTATTTACTTAACTGAGCACGTGGTCAAATATATTCTCATAATTGCCCTGCTCCCACTATACTAAAAAAAAAATCTCCAATCCAGCGATTATATTTTGGATGATTACACGTAACTTAATTTCTTTTCTTACGGCTTCAGATTTACATCCATCAATTAACAGCAGGGGATTGGTCATCGTGTGTAAAGCTCTGCTTAGGTTGTTATCGCTGTTTATACGCGCCGGTGCCATTAAGTAGTCAATCAAAGATCTTCCCATCGATATTACTTAAAAGCTTAAATTTAATGGTCTTGCTGTGTAAGTACGTGTGTGTTATATATACTGTACATTTGTAAAATCATAAATGTCAGTGGCTTTACCTCACCGCAGCCTTCTGTTACATCTATAATTATAACATTATAATAATTATAACATAAACAGGTTATAACATAAATCGATTTAATCATGTACAAGTATGAAGCATTACACCATATACATGTATACATTCGGATTTTTTAATTTACCGAACGAAAAAGTGGTAGAGTTTTTTTTTCTAGGAATGTTATATAAAAATTGTTTTCTTGATTTCATGCCAAGAAATCACGTCAAATTTTCCAAAGCAATGGAGTCAATAAAAGTGTCATTGATGCAAATCACCCAGATTCCCGAAACGCTGGCAAGACAATTTACGGCAACAGACTTCTGGGGGTGGATCGTAGGTTTTCAGCTTTCTTAGTTAAAGAAACATAAACTTGATACATTCCACCTTTTATTTCAATCATTGATATTTTTACTTCAAAATGAAAATATTTAAATAGCCAATGTTTTGATACAGATATACGAAAAAAATTAAGAGGCAGCTTATTATAATTAATTAACTTTCTTTTCCTTTTATTTTACACTTTTAACAACATTTGATTTAGATGCCCCCCTACCCCCCCCCCCCCAAAGAAGGTGTGTATGCAAGGGTTTGAAATAATAAGTATTCTACCTATGTTTTAACAGGCACTTAGCATTGTTTTTTAAAGTGAGGGAGGGGGAGGGAGCAAGCCAGAGAATTTTTTTTTACTAAAAGCTGATTAGCAAAAAAGAAAAAAAGAGAGAGGGGCTTTGTAGAAGCGAGGGGACGGGGGACAACTTTTTGCAAGGCCAACTTCCTTTCACTTCTAATTTTTTCGCATACAATAGTACATTTCCTTGATATCACTTTACTCTTTACTGTGGTTAGGAGTCGGGGGAGGGGGGGGGGGCAACCAACCTTTTAATGGACATTTGCTATAGTAAAGGTAATGTTGAGGGAAAAAAATGGGGTTGGGCGCTACCCCCGTTGCTACGTGCCTGTTTAAACCCTCCCTCAAAACTGCTGAGTGACAGTAATTGCCTCGCGCGCACAGAATCACCGAGTAACATTAATTCGGCTTTTATTGAGTTCGCTCTCCGGAAAGAATGTGCAAGTTTTCTTGGCATGACTATTGTACTGGTAAAACGATCCATAACTTTTAATGACAATGGTATAGACCAGTTGTAATATCATGGCATTTCATAAAATAGTTTAAAATTAAACTGAACTTGAGTAATTGAAAAATATATACATAGATCGTAGATTACAAAATAATTTCTGTTGACATTATGTAGTCTGAACTTCATTGTTGGAAATAACAATTCATTTGGTAATTTTTTTTAAATGCCCATTTCCACAGAAAAAATGTTATAAAATAAAACGTAATGTTAATAGGGACTGTAAGTCTCGTTTAGCGTCACTTCCGGTATCAAGTTTCCGGTGACATGGCCATCTCGATACAGTACTGGGCAAATTATACTGCCGACAAGCCTAAGCTCATGAGGAAGTCCGAGAATGCTGTAACAAGCGAACATGTTCTCAAGTTCTTATTTGATAAAGAAACAAATACATTACAGGCTGTCGTCCAAGCGTCGATGAGAAATACATCGTACAAAGTCACGGTAAGTGTGGATTAGCATGATTAGGGATAATATGCCTGATATATTCGTGATCACTGCACTTGTGTCAGTGTTATTTAAAAAAACATCTTATACATTTTTTTAATTCAAGAATATTGATGTGCACATGTACATCGCATCGTGCATGGCTCTCTTTAAATATTAATTTCTTCATTCCACGTTTCTGTTACGGGGGGGGGGGGTAGTTCAACTGTTCAAGTTAGATATTAATCTTATATTTATATTTTAGGCAACTCTGGCGGATAGTTATGCTGTATGTGCTTCCTCCTGTGAATGTCCTTTGGGCAAATTTGTGTGTCACCATATTGCAACAGCTTTGTTGTATGGGTAATTATTTGAGAGAAGATTTACCTTTTGAAGTAGACATCTACTTGTGTTATGAAATGAGATTTATATTTAAAAAGTTTTCCTAAGTAAATTATAATATAGACAGTGTAAATAGAATACTTTTTGTCAAAATTTTATGATGTTCAGTGGACCCAGTGTGGTGAGGGCCTGTCTTAACTAATCTGCTAATCATGCTAAGACTGATTAGCTAGGGGGTGTCCACATTGTGGGCTATACATGTACCTAGACAACCGTCAGATTTAAAACCCAAGGCAGGTGGATCCAGAAATTTTGTAATGGGAAGGGGGGACAGTAAAAGGTAGAGGTTTTTGGTGGCTAAACTGAAGCCCCTAGTGGGGCTTAGGCAAGGTCCTTTTTGGGGGTCCGGCAGCAAAGCCCCCGAAAGCTGATTATAATAAGAGATGTTTTCCCTTGATTTTAGGATAGTGGACATATGAATTTTACATACAAAAATTTCAAATGGGGAAAGGGGGGGGGGGCATGCCCGGCGCACTGGCCCTGGGTCCGCCTTTGCAACACTCTATCAATTAAATTTTTTCTAATCTTTGCAACAATTTTTTGCTTGAATCAGTGCTGTTTTTATTCTCATTATACATTTCAGATATAAATGCGTTAGCAAAACAGATGTAAAGTGTGGGTGGCTCAAAAATCCAAAGACATCTATAAAAAGAAATACCAAAACTATGGATGAGTTGTTTCCTGCAAGTCGTCCAGAGTACAGGTAAAAATTGTAGATGTAGGCACATAAAATTCAAATTCTTAGATTCTTCAGTCACAATTCACGTGTCAACATGCCACAGATTCTAGATAGCCATTTTTGGATCATTCTCACCGTTTGTTTTTAATGTAAAAAATAGAGCATTAGACAGGCCCTTTGATGATACAGACAGAAATTTCCTTCACCAGGAATTGGCCAGACTTGGCAGGTTTATTGGTATAAATTGGAACTTTGATGCATTTAGTTGTGTTTTTTGTGTTATGTACATGTATATTTCAGTACATGTACTACTTTTGTCATGAACTTGTATTTTTGATATAGTACTTACATTGGTTATTGTTATGTTTAGTTACTTAAAAATATTTACATTTTCTAAAAGAATTGATATAAAGATCTTTTTAATGATTAGTATTTACAACTATTTATTATGTACATGCCCATTTATACATGTTATAGATTAAAAGATACATGTATTATAAGAATAGTGAAGTGAGGTATAAACCAGCTATGCCTTTATTAAAGGAAGATTTATTTGAACATGTTGAAAGTGTTGTAATATTTTGTAGGATTGCTACTATAAAACTTTTATGTTAAACCTCACCTGTTTTTCGACTCAAATATTTTTGTCATGTATCATCTAAGGATCTAAGAAATATTACTTATCGCCAAAAATTGTTTTGAATATTTTCAGCAATGGAATGGATTCTGCAACCAGAGCCACTGCGGCCAGTTCCTCCTGCTCCTATTATAGAGGATCTTTTGACCAATCCAGAGTTTATTAATGCAGATGCTCCACTTGCTTGGTTACGCCGTGCAATGATTCTGTCAGAGGAGATTATTAAGTCCACTGCAGAGGCAACGAAAGGACAGAGAACAAATCCTATGTGGGCAGTCATGAGGAAAAATAGGATTACTGCCTCCAACTTTGGAGCAGTTCTAAATCTTAAGCGTAAACGGTAATGTATTTGCACATTCGTAAATGGGTGTGTTGATTAATATAGAAAGAGCATGTAGAAACAATTTAAAGCTAATGTATTTGTTTAATTTATCCAAAGCTTCAAGCTTTTAATAAATACATGCATAAAAATGTAAAGGGGAGAAAGATAGGAGGAATGATAAAGAGAGAAAAGGCGAATTATATATCAGATTCTTTCAATCTTCCAAAGATTTCATTTTTACTAAAGTTTGATTACTTATTTTTTTATGCGCCGGGATCAATAGATCCCGGGTGTATATTGTTTTTGTCCTGTCTGTTTGTCTGTTTATCTGTCTGTCTGTTGTCAACTTTAACCTTGGCCATAACTTTTGAACCATAAGAGATAGAGACGTCATATTTGGTATGCATACTCCACTAATTAAGTTCTTTCAAACAACACCAAGGTCAATGACCTTGACTGTCACCTATATACTAAAAATAGCTTTTTCAAACTTTGTTGACGCCGGGTGCATAGTGTTTCACAAACACATCTTGTTTTGTGTTATTTTTATTATCAAATGTTAAAGAAATTTTAATAAGCCGAATCAGATTAAAGTTTTGTTTTAATCAAAAGAAAACTACTTATTTCAGACTCACTGCTTCTTTAAAGAAGCGTCTCATGTCGTCCTACAATTTAGAAAGTGTCAAGTCCATTGCATGGGGGATAACACATGAGGATGATGCCCTGAAGAAGTACCAGAATGACTTTGGTGCACTTATTCAGAAAACTGGTAATTTGAACATTTTAAAACTAGGAAAATTCAAGAAAAACTAAAAAAAAAAGAATTATTTTCTTCAATGATTCAGACTTATATTTCTGTTGACTTTTCAGGAATTTGGCTTCATGAATCAGGCGCATTAGGTGCTTCACCAGATGGTTTAGTTCTGCACCCCCCTCTTTGTGAAGTGTCCTACCAGACTCCAGATGCCAGGGCAGCAATTCCTGAGTTAGTAGAAGTTAAGTGTCCCTACTCTGCTGCCTCGCTCTCAGTTGAGGATGCTGTCCATTGTCTGAAGGACTTCTACTTGGGTACATTTTATTGTATACTTGTTAATATGCAAAGGAGCATACACACAATTATTACACCAATGTTCATTTGGACTATGACCACTGTACAAAATTTATATTAGAAAAATTGACCTTAGTTTACACTGATATTTCCTATATTTTCAGAATTCAAGGAAGATTCATTGCATTTGAAAACTGACCATACCTACTACCATCAGATTCAAGGTCAACTGTACATGTGTAACAAAAACTGTTGTGACCTCATGGTTTGGACCCCGGTTGACTGTGCCATCATCAGAATTGTAAAGGACAAGGAATGGGCAAAAAATGTTGCAGTTCTTGTTGATTTTTACTTCAGTACCTTTATTCAGGCATTAAGAGAGGACTAGAAACTTTCTCAAACTACTATGGTCTATGCTTAGTATAGTTATACAACTGTAAATCAAACATAAAGTATCGATAGTCTGGACACCAGTTGACTGTGCCATCATCAGAATTGTAAAGGACAAGAAATAGGCAAAAAATGTTGCAGTGCTTGTTGATTTTTACTTTTATTAGTACATGTACCTTTATTGAGGCATTAAGAGAGAACTAGAAACTTTCTCAAATCTATGGTCTATATTTAGTATAATTATATGACTGTATATCGAAGATAAAGCATCCATGGATTAAAAAAGATTAAAAGAATTCTGTCCATTATCTTTTAATTCAAGGTGCATGTCAGAATATTTTTAAGATTATCATACATCTTACTTTAAACATATTTTATTGAATATAATTCAATCAGGATTGGGCAACAGGCAATGCCTATATAAGCCCTCTCCTTTTATAATTGGTCAAGATACAAATTAGAAGTAAATAATACATGAACATTATAATCAATAAAATTATTATGAAAAATAAAGATTCACAATCATGTATTATTTATCAATAATATATCTAAAAAAAAAAAGATGACAACCCCCTAACTGTATGCATATTATTTACATACTGTTCCAGCTTAAAAATAATACAAATATTTGAAGAAGAAAAAAAATTATGCATTAAATAGAATATTCAATATGACAGTGTCCCTAATTTATAAATCTTTTAGAAGATTTTATAAATTCTTGTACATATGAAAATATTTGACAATTTGTTTGATAAGAGTATTGAGATTTCCTCTTAGTAGAGCGTCGAGTTCAAAAACAACATTAATATCATTTAATTTTTTTACCAATATGTTTCTTTCAACGTTATACGATGGACAGTTGATAAAATAATGTTCAGTATCTTCAGTATGAAATCCACACTTTTGACATGATTGAATATCTGATAAAAAATGATTTTTTAAATGGGCATTAAGATTACTAGCATTGTTTCTTAACTGACAATGCAAGATATTTTCTTTCCTATTACCAAAGTTAAAGTACCTACAAGGTTTATTAGTTGCTCCCCAATTCTTAAGTTTTGCTTTAAAGATAGCTAATGAAGGAGAGTTTTTTACATCTTCAGTAAGACTGTTCCAAAGTTTTACGGTTGATGGAATAAAACTATTATAGTATGACATTGTTTTACAAACTGGTATGCATAAGTTATTACATCCAGACCTTAGGTTGTAAGCATGTTTAACAGGAAAACAAGGTTGAATCAAATCATACAAATAATCAGGTGCAGAACCATTAATCATTTTATACATCAATTGAAGTTTGTGTTTTTCTCTTCTAAGATATAATGGTTCCCATCCTAGTTCACCATACAAACAAGTTCTGGATGAATTAACTCTTAGTCCAGTAATAATTCTAGCAGCTTCTATTTGAACTTTTTCAAGCAATTCTGAACTATTTTGGGTACAATTATCCCATACAACATCAGCATATTCTAAAATTGGTCTTATAAAGGCAAAATAAATTTTTATAAGTGAATTTCTATCAATGCTATGTTTCAGTAACCTAATTATATTTAATCTTTTACATGCCTTTTCATATATATTTGATATGTGATTGTTCCAAGAACCATCTGCTTGAAATTGTAATCCTAAATGAACATGAGTATTTGATTGTTTTATATAATCACCTCCATATCCAAACTGAATATTAGGATAACTTACATCTTAAGACTGGACATACAAATGTACTATGTTATGGTGTTCATGTACGTCAGCTGATACTTCTTGGGTAAAAGAAGTGCTGCACATTAAAATTAGGTTGCTATGTGACTGTCTTTTAATTAATGAAAATGTTATGGCATAATATGGTAAAATCCTTAACATTTGATTTTTTTATCATTACAATTAATTGCTGAGTGACATGTCTCTTAACTAAGATGACAATTTTATTGTCTAAAGAAAAGGAATTAAATTTGTTTTGATATTTTACTAGGCTGAGCATTTTTAATCAATCAAAGTATATAATGAAGGCTTCAGATGGGCATTTGTGGAGCTCTAACACAACCAGCTGAAAAATATGTGATACATCAAACATGATAAAGAATGGAAAAAATCATTGAGGTCTCAGGAGCACTTTATTTGGTTGTCAAATACCATAAAAATATACCTCCATGATTGCAAAATGGACATTTTTGCAGAATGCTTAAATTTTTAAAATAGTAATCTGAATATTGCTACATGTGACATTAGTTTTGAAAGAAAAAGATACTGTCACGGGAGTAAGGGAAGTACTGATTTCTGCACTTGTGTTGAATGTAGGGGTTACAACAAATCATGAAATAGTGAATTTGTCTCATAACAAGAGGCCCATGGGCCTTATAGGTCACCTGAGCATTATGCAACAACTTTCCAGTGATTAAATTTAATTCATCATAACAATACACTTAGCAGTTGCTTAGTTTGTTTACTCAATACCCATACACAAGGTAGGGGAACAAAAAATGCATTTCAACTAATCAGTTATATTCAGCAATAATCAGTAGTGCCCCTACTACACATGAACCCCTGTCCCTTAGGCCTTGATATTTGATTAATACCAAGGAGCAGATTTCAAACCATTCATTCATTTTCAGTATATAAGTACACCCCCCCTCCCCCCATATTACCCCTGACCCTGGGGCCTTGAAATTCACAATTCTGGAAGATTAGGGCCCTTGTAGATAATAACTATATAGGTAGTTCATCTGCTTAATACCCTAGAGCAGAGAAGAAATTTTTAAAGATTTCATGAATTTTCACTATATAATCTATAGAGCCCCGCCCTAACACCAAAACCCCTGACCCTGGGGCCATAAAATTCATAATTTTGGTAGAGGCACTCTTGCTCATCATAATTATGCACTTAGTTAGTTTATTTAATACCCAGGAGCAATGAAGAAGATTTTCAAAGAAATCTTGTATTTTCACTATATAATCAATAGAGCCCCACCCTAACACCAGAACCCCTGACCCTGGGGCCATAAAATTCACAATTTTGGTAGAGGCACTCTTGCTCATTATAACTATGCACTTAGTTTATTTAATACCCAGGAGCAGAGAAGAAGATTTTGAAAGAATTCATGTATTTTAACTACATAATCTATTGAGCCCCCCCCCCCCCCCAGCACTAGAACCCCTGACCCTGGGGCCATAAAATTCACAATTTTGGTAGAGGCACTCTTGTTCATTATAACTATGCACTTAGTTTATTTAATACCCAGGAGCAGAGAAGATTTTCAAAGAATTCATGTATTTTCACTATATAATCAATAGAGCCCCCCCCCCCTAATACCAGAACCCCTAATCCTGGGGCCATAAAATTCACAATATTGGTAAAGGCACTCTTGCTCACCATAACTAGGCACTTAGTTAGCTTATTTAATACCCAGGAGCAGATTTCAAACCATTCATTCATTTTCAGTATATAAGTACACCCCCCTCCCCCCATATTACCCCTGACCCTGGGGCCTTGAAATTCACAATTCTGGAAGATTAGGGCCCTTGTAGATAATAACTATATAGGTAGTTCATCTGCTTAATACCCTAGAGCAGAGAAGAAATTTTTAAAGATTTCATGAATTTTCACTATATAATCTATAGAGTCCCGCCCTAACACCAAAACCCCTGACCCTGGGGCCATAAAATTCACAATTTTGGTTGAGGCACTCTTGTTCATCATAACTATGCACTTAGTTAGTTTATTTAATACCCAGGAGCACAGAAGAAGATTTTCAAAGAATTCATGTATTTTCACTATATAATCAATAGAGCCCCACCCTAACACCAGAACCCCTGACCCTGGGGCCATAAAATTCACAATTTTGGTAGAGGCACTCTTGCTCATCATAATTATATACTTAGTTAGTTTATTTAATACCCAGGAGCTGAGAAGAAGATTTTCAAAGAATTCATGTATTTTCACTATATAATCAATAGAGCCCCACCCTAACACCAGAACCCCTGACCCTGGGGCCATAAAATTCACAATTTTGGTAGAGGCACTCTTGCTCATCATAACTATGTACTTAGTTAGTTTATTTAATACCCAGGAGCAGAGAAGAAGATTTTCAAAGAAATAATGCATTTTCACTACCTACTTATTTAGCCCCGCCCTAGCACTAGAACCCCTGACCCCAGGGCCATGAATTTCACAATTTTAGTAGAGGACTCATTGCTGATTACAATCATGCAACCAGTTTGACTGCTTGATGCCCAGGAGTAAAGAAGAAGATTTTTAAAGATTGCATTAATTTTAGTGGTTTTGGCCCCACCCCTCAGGCCCCTGGGGGGCAGGGATCATGAAATTCACAATTTTTGTTCCCCTTCACCCATAGATGCTTTGTGCCAAATTTGGTTGAAATTGGTTCAGTGGTCGCAGAGAAGAAGCTGAAAATGTTCAAATGTTAACGCACAACGCACGACGCACAACGCACAACGCACGACGACGGACGAAAACGGATAGCAATAGGTCACCTGAGTTTACTCAGGTGACCTAAAAATGTAAAAAAAAAAAAAAACAAACAAACAAACAAACAAACAAACCACTAAGCTCCATCATGAAGAACATAAGAAATACTAGTTAACTACATGTCAAACATATGGCAGGAGTAAAAAAGTTTAATTTATGCAATTTCTTTCAAAAGGGGAGCTTGTAAGTTGACAAGACTGGAACATAGTTGAAATATTACAGTAGACATAGCTCTGTAAGTAGATGGAATATGATGAAGTATCTCAAAGTTTTTTATCCTTTCATTGGCACGTTCCACATGGATTCGAGCCCTGGCAATTTTGTAGCACAACTCAGCCTCTGGTTGGGTAAACTGACCCCGAGATGTAAGAAAAGCAGGTATATTTAGACACACTCCTTGAGGTAGTTGGTCATGAATCGTAAATCCTTTATCTGCTAAGATAAGGTCTCCTGCACTGAATTTTTTCAGAACCTCACTATGCCGAACAATGGCAACATCTGATGTAGACCCTGGATACAGCTTGGAGCAATAGGTAATGGAGCCATTCGGAGCTACACAAGTGAGAGCTTTCACGGTGTGGCGGCTCTTGTAAGAGCTATAGGCTATGGCCTGCATGTCCATGTGTGAAGGAATGTCTTGCGTCATTTCTAGTGCATCCATCGAGGCCCTTGCTGAAGAAAACTCGGCAAAAGACTTAGGCATCGAACCTTTGCATTTCAATTGGCTGGGGAAACAGTGGTTTACAACTCCCTCAAACAACATTTCATGAAGGGCATACACAATGGTATGAAAAATGTTGGAAATAACTGGGCGGCTCACACAAAACCTTTGCGCTAAGTCTAGGTCACGAAGGTTAAGCTTGAGTTTCATCAGCACTATAAGAAGTTGATCTTCTATCCTGATTGTAGGCGACCACTCGCTATAATATTTCAGGTTACTAGTAAATCTCTGCAATAGTCTTGCCAATATACTGAATATGTCAAATGGCAGTGATGTATACAGCAGCATCTGGAAATTAAAAAAAATTACACAATAAATACTGTATTTGACTTTGTTGAAATGAAATTAAAATTAAATAAGTTTAAACTTATCTCCATTATCCCCTTTAAATATAACATATTTTAAAATATAGGTAAGGGTGGTCAACTATTTGTTTGCATACTAATATTATTACTTTAGAGTGCAGATAGATCTACATAGGGAAGTTTACAACAGAAAACAGTATTTATGTAAAAGATTGACATTGAAAAATTCAGTGAGATTTTTATTTAATTTGGATGCATTCTTGATCATGACTGTTACAATTTCTCAAGATTTGATTGCAGATTTGCAAAAAATGACATCACAAATTTATTTACAAACATTGCAGTGTTTCCCATAAAAGACAGTTACGTTAGTGACCAAGTTAGGGATTTGGCGATACACTTCTCAAAATCTTAGGTTCTCTGACAGACAGATGGAAAATATATAAAGTGATCTCCAAGTTTTATTCTGCTTTGAAGGCAACACATAAATGTAGCTCTGACTAAATTTTATTCAGTGGTTTTAAGTTGAAATCATAAATTTAATATATATAATAAATATGTATAATACCTTGTACCTATTTTTCTTAATCATAAGGCCAAAATAAAAAATAGTCTTGTTTCCTGCTACCCGACCTACCCTAATTTTTTGCACCCGACCCTAAAGTTTTTTTTTAAGCTTTTGGGAAAAAAATTCAAACTTTTAGGAATTTCATGTTTCAAAAATGAAAATAATATATATACTCAAGTTCTATAACATGAAATATATATGTTTGGAATATGGACTTTTATAAAATTCCACTTGAGTTGTGCATCAAAAGACATGGAATTTCATTTTAAAAGATTATATTGACCTTAGCTATGACATCATCATGTTCAATTTGGTTTTGAAGTAGTTCATATCCAAAAAATACCGTTTGAAAAAAATAAAATTAAATTAAAAAATGAAATAATTTTCCTACCTACCTACCCTATTTTTTCTGGCTGGTAGCAGGAAACAAGACTTTTTTTTTTTGCCTAAATATCTTCATATTACAATGTAGGTCCCAATCACCTGGGGAAAAATTCTGATCATATGCAGTATAACTTGAAACTTTTGTACCTTTTCTTCACTGTCCTTAATTTGGTCTATAGACATTGGTTTTGTCTTTGCAGCATCTACAGTCAGTGAAGCAATTTGTTCCTCCAAGGTTTGGCACTGGGACACAAGCCTTTTCATTTCTGCTGCACATGTCAGAGTGCATGGTGTGGCATAACTGTGCTCTACCATAGCCTAGTTGTAGTAAAATGGACTACTGTGTACATAAAAATGCATGTAATGTATACAGCTTAGTTTTGTGATTTCCATATACATGAATATGGCTTTGCTGAATGAGATCTTTAAAAGTTTGATTTCAGAATCTAACTGTAAACTTCATTTACTATACCTGTTCAGGGTTTTGGCATTCAGTCCAGTTAGGCTGCTCTACTGGCTCCTCTATTGACTTAGTTTCAGTTGAATGACATGTTCTTTTTCTATAAGTAAGTTTAAGAACAATTAAGATCTCATTAACTAAGCCAGTATTAATGATAGAATAGGAACTTATTAAGATTCTTCGAATATAATACAGTATATTACTTTACTGGGTTTGGCGTAAACTTTTACAAGAACTAGACCAGTCTCTCTACTTCAAATATTTTTATACCCCCGTTTGACAAGTGGGAGGTTATATAGAAATCATTATGTTCATCCGTCTGTCTGTACGTCCATCTTGTAATACCTTTCTGTTACACTTTGGAGTACCCATCTCTTATCCGCAACTCCTCTCATACCACTGAATTAAACTTTAATCTTTAATCTTTATTACATATTGCCTCCTATTTTATTTTTTGATCCAACACATAACATGGACACTCCCATTATATTCATATGGGAGGCGGGGGTTATAATCATATAGTGAGCTCATTGCTCACAGTACCTCTAGTTATTACTAGCCCTGCCCATAGAATCACTAGACTCTGGACACCAAAATTACTTAATATAATCCCGAATTTTAATGAGATAACTTTTGAAACCATATTAAACAAGAGGCCCACGGGCCTTATAGGTCACCTGAGTATCATGTAACAACTTTCCAGCGATTGTATTTGGTTCGTGTTTTAATCCAAAAGCCATGAAATTCACAAATTTTGAAAGAGGCACCATTGCTTATCAAAGGGCAGATTTTAAAGCATTTATTTTTAGTCAAAGTACCCCCCTGGTACCCTTGACCCAGCAGCCCTGAAATTATCTAATTTGAAAGAGGCCCCTTTCTTCATTATAAGCCAGCATTTTTTTTTTATGTTTAGGTTTTGTTATGAACATGAGAATAAAAAAGTCCCGAAGGAGAAGGAAATAAAATTTTTTTTTTGATAAATCAATTATTAACATTTGTACATTCTTTTTTATGCTATCCTAATAGGCTCCCTACCACTGGACACACAATGCTTACAAATAGGAAAGTAGAACATTTAATTGCTTATTTCATCATCTGCCAGTTTGGGCCAGTTATATAAATTTTGTGATGTTGATCAAAATATATTTTTTTTAAAAATCTATTCTTTAAAAGTCTTTCAATATATCTTCATTTTTTAATATGTGTTAGGTGAATGTGTAAACATTGTTCTAAAATTTACTTGATGCCTAAAATTATAATTCCTATCATAAAACAGACAGGGGAGTATTGGGGAGTAGGGTCAACATTTTTTCAATTTTAGTGTAAAATAATTTTTCTGGTTGATACAAATGATACTACATGCCTGTATATATTTGTATATTCTTGCCTTTTAATAGTTGAATTTTTTTTATTTCTTCAGGTTATTGTTTATTTCTTCCTCAAATGGACTTCATTTCTCCCATAGTTTTATTCATTACATCTGATGCATAAGCAACTCTTTTCTGAAGAATAATGCTTAGACTGTAAGCTATAATAGAGACCTAAACAATGACCCTGGCAATATGCAATAGTTACCACGGGCAGTTTAAAACCTGGGGGAGGAAAATAATTTACAGTTACTTTTGAAACGAATACAGAATTATCTCACCAGCATGTCATTGTGCAACAAAGTCGTCAGCATTTTATTTGTCCTTTGAACGGGGTGAAACGTTTTGAATGGCACTCTTATCGATGAATTTTATACTAGACCAATCTTCTCATACCCGCCGTTTGTAAAACCGGAAGTGCGTGTTCGTAAATTTGAAATCTCGATCCCGACTCAAATTTGACATCGGAAAGAATTTTTTTAAAATTTTTTTCTGAAAATTCAAAACCTTGAGCGGAGGGTTTGTAAAACTGAAAATAAAATAAATCCTGGCCTTAAATATGTAATTAGATCATTAGCATATTAACCAGGAGCAAAGGATAAGATGTTCAAAGAATTCATGCATTTCACTATATAATCATTTATTTAGAGCCCCACCCTAAAACAAGAACCCCTGACCCTGGGGCCATAAAATTCACAATTTTGGTAGAGGCACTCTTGCTTATCATAACTATGTACTTAGTTAGTTTATTTAATACCCAGGAGCAGAGAAGAAGATTTTCAAAGAATTCATGTATTTTCACTATATAATCAATAGAGCCCCACCCTAACACCAGAACCCCTGACCCTGGGGCCATAAAATTCACAATTTAGGTAGAGGCACTCTTGCTCATCATGACTATGTACTTAGTTGGTTTATTTAATACCCAGGAGCAGAGAAGAAGATTTTCAAAGAAATAATGCATTTTCACTACCTACTTATTTAGCCCCGCCCTAGCACTAGAACCCCTGACCCCAGGGCCATGAATTTCACAATTTTGGTAGAGGACTTATTGCTGATTACAATCATGCAAACAGTTTGACTGCTTGATGTCCAGGAGTAAAGAAGAAGATTTTTAAAGATTGCATTAATTTTAGTGGTTTTGGCCCCACCCCTCAGGCCCCAGGGGGGCAGGGATCATGAAATTCACAATTTTTGTTCCCCTTCACCCATAGATGCTGTGTGCCAAATTTGGTTGAAATTGGTTCAGTGGTTGCAGAGAAGAAGCTGAAAATGTTCAAATGTTAACACACGACGAACGACGCACGACGCACGACGAACGACAACGGACGAAAACAGATAGCAATAGGTCACCTGAGTTTACTCAGGTGACCTAAAAAGATATTGTCTTTTGTATGTGTCAATATTTTTGACTGACTATTTGATAGTTCCCAGCTAACTGAATCAGATTTATAGAGACATTCAAGTCACAAATGCCTTTTAAACATTCAACAATCTTATAATATAAAATATTTAATTTGCCGTTTATAATTTTGTCCAAGACAAGACTGAAGTAAGAAATTTTCTTTTACATTTAGGAGTATTTGAAAGACTGATATGGGGGTTTCCATTCATTTTATCAACACAAATAATCTGTCTAGTTCACCAACATTTTACATGACTGGTGTAACTTTTGGTTGGTTGTAGGCACCTTGGTGTCAAACCCTGTATTGTTAATATTTCTGACTACTAACACATGCATTGTACAGTGTGCATGGTAAATTCATGTAATAGCAAACCTTTTGTGGTGTTCTGGATCAGGAAAATCCATGTGCTTTCCAGAGTTATGCTGGAAGTAGATAGGGTCACCCTCTTTAACACCATCTTTAAAATGACAAGAACAAATCCTGTCATTCTGGTCACTAGGCTCTTTATCAGCTCTTCTACAGAAAAAAAAATCTTTTCAGTTACCTGTTGTATTTCTTTATGGCTTTTTAGCAGTCTATAATATATGTGATGATTCCAGGAATACACCGTGTTTCATATTGATATTGCCTACATAATAAATAATGAACATCTTTTTCAATATACCTGCATAACTGACCCCAAAGAACTCTTTTCTTAGGGTGAAAACGGTAGAAATGACAGTCTGATGACCCACTGCGATGGTTGCACCCATAAGCAAAACAAATGACCATTTCTGAAAATTTATAAGAGTATTTATTACAACAATCTCTCGAACTGTTTGTGCTTATAAATTTGGTTCGATTTCTTACCATATTAAAACTTACTGGTCGTGATTAAATACCCGAACGACACAAAGTGAAAGTGGTTATCTCTTCTCAAGCGTCTGCTCTATAACGGAAAAAAAACATTTCTGAAAATTTAGAGTATTCATTACAACAAAAATCTCTTGAACTTTTGTTCATAAAAGAAATTTAAATTTGATTCTATTAATTTTCATGCAAAAACTTACTGGTAGTGATAATACGCCCAAACGAAACAAACAGAAAGTTGTATTCTCTCTTCTGAGCCACGCTTTGTTTGTCACCGGAAGTTACATCCTCTCGCGAAATCTCGTGTACGAGCTTACAGTCCCTATGAGAAAAGAAAGATGTTATTGCAAATAAATTTTGTTCAGTAAATTCATCTTCACCATGATTTAAAAGAAATTGAGCTGCCATGGCAATATTGTTTACACATGATCTTTTAAAGATAGATTACCGAACGAAAAAATATGTAAAATATATATAATTAGATTTCTTTCCGCTTTGTGAATTTAAGCAAACCACGTCAGACGAGCTTTTTAGGAAAGCTAATACTTGTCAGGATTATGACCGTTTACCGGGGGAGATTTGAATTTTGCAAAACCTGAGGTTGCGTCCGTCTCAATCTTTTATAGTGACATTAAAGGTACTTGGAAACAGATTTGAAGTCAATATTTTTCAATAATTTCCTATAATATTACGACATATATATTTTGATAGCGTTTCACAAAGAAATTAACTAAAAATCTTATTTCATTTATAAGTTATTAAAAATTCAAATTTTTTGGCGGGTTTGATTGACACACTATTGCACTTTCACAAATTTTAACCCTATTCTTTTTCTTTAGGAAAAGTGGCAATTTTATTGCGTATTAATGAGAATTATTAAAACTTTTATCCAGAAAAATAGTTTTATTCCGAGTACAAATGCTAGAAAGAAAACTCATTCGTCATTCCTAACTACGGGTTGAACTACGGGTTGCGTACAAAGTTTGGCAAATCGAGCTAACCCGTGTTATGTACACAGTTTTTGTAAACAAGGCTCGAGTTCTGTTATTGTTTATATTTAGAATTCACCGGGTGCGTTAAATATCGTCACAGTCTGTTAATCACAATTGCACGGACTGACAATATATTGTGTGTTTGTTTTACTTTTGAACATGCCTACTCTGAGTTTTCTCGATTTTAGTATTAATATTTTTCATTTATACACAACTGGATTGACACTTTTCTTATGGATTAAGAATAAAATTAATTTTGCGAATGTGCAGGAATGTGTCAATCAAACTCGCCAAAGAATTTGAAATGTTAATATCTTTAATATGAAATAAGGTTTTTTTTATTAATTTTTATGTGATATGCTATTAAAATATATAAGTTGTAATATTTTAGAAAATTATTGAAAAATATTGACTTCAAATCTGTGTCCAAGTACCTTTAATTTTCGGTATTAAGTTGATACACTCTAGATGTAGCTATGTAACATGATTTTTAAAGGCACTTTTCAAATTACCCTACACAGAGGTATTGTGAGCAAGTAGTTCAATGAATAATACCCTCGCCTCCTATCTGTATACACGTATAATGACAAGGAAAAAGATACACACACAAAAAAAGTCAGCTAACACTACTAAACTATATATTTACATGGTTACATGTTGTATTGGAACTAAATATAATCAATGAAAGAAATCCGGACTGCTGTGAAATACGTTTGGTCTATCGGGTATTCTCAGGTAAACGGGTCAATTACGTGAATTAATTACGACAATCAATAAATCGTACATTGTTTCGTTCTCTCGAAATGGCATATCGAAACTTACTCGATAAAGAGTAACTAAAGAGAAATAATACATACGGTATATTTTAACATAGGAATTGTGATCTACTATAAATTTGGAAACGTTTCAGGTCTACTTATTTCTTGGGAAAAAATAATTAACATAGGCGTATGCAATGCAGAGGTATATGGGTTGTTCAAAAGTTGGTAACGCGAATTAACTGTAGAGTTTATACTGAACTGAGAGAATAATCTTTGTTTAATATCATTAGATATTTGATCTAAGTTACGTCCAATCTCGTTAAGTCATTCACTTTGTTAATATCATTAGGGCGGAATGATTCAATCTTTGCATCAAGAACTTTTCTTTGCTTTTTCTCTCAGTGCCACTACTGTCATGTCTTCCCATTCGTGACCCTCGAAGTTTAAATGTCCCCCAACGGGTTCACTGAGTCAATTGGTCCTTATGGTTGAAAGGTGGATATTGACTCTCCGGCGGAGATCTGTTTCACCAATATACTGTTTGGAGCAAACTTTGCAACTGATGAGATAAATGCAGTTGTCAGTATGAGCGGACAAATTCCAAAGTATTTTGTAGCTGCGTCCTGTATCGGGGTTGTGAAAACTGTCTTTGTCAAATTTACCAAGAAGACATCTGTCAGAGCAAGTTTTAAAGCCCCCTCCCCGTTAAGTAATGAGTTGTCCAATCTGGTTCTTACTACCATGTCCTTGGGCGTCTGTATGCAGCTTTCCTTACAGACCTCTCCCATTCGTTTGTTTGAATGGAGAATTAGAAGGTTTTAAAAAAAATACCGCTAAGATTCTTTAGGACAAGATGGTATATGGTTACCAGAAGGACTCCGCCGCCATTGTCTTTTACCTTGTAGATTAATAGGTTTTTGCCTGTCAAGTCCCGCCATCTCATCAATAGCAGTTTGTACAGTGTGGGCACTGTAGCCTCAAAAGGGACTATGAAGAAGGAATTTGTATGGATATACTATCCAATATTCTTTACAGGTTTCGATACCGTAATCGTGCAGATTATTTGTGTACAAAGATGTGACGTCCATAGTACTAGGAGGGCCAGTAGAGGGCGTTTTCTTCATGTAGTCTGTGGAGTCCTTGAAATAGGATGGCAAATTCTCTACAAGTGGACGGTGATGTAGATCAATATATTCAGAAATTTCCCCCTAGCTGTTGTTTAAAATTCTCTTTAAATTTCGAAGGTGCTTGGTCAAATAAAAAAAGATCCAGTGATAGAAAAATAACATTTATTTCTTGAATATGTAATATGCTCGATCACACCCGCCGTGTAGTCCTTGTCATGATCGGGAAACCAGTGTATGAAAAAATGGACAGGTAACATAGAAATCTGCCGTCGGGTCGATCGCATTTTTTACAACAAGCTGCACAATTTTGGTTGATTTCATTGCTGGAAATCTACTTTGTTTCTCGTTTTCTGTAAGCCATTTTAGAGGAACCATGCCCACTTCCTTTTTTTCGAGGAATTCCACCACCAGTGAATATGTTTTAGAACTAAAGAATTTTAAATATTTTCCTCTTATATATTCTTTTACTTGGTGAAGGTGTGGAAAAAAAAGAGTTGGTAGGTGGGGGATGCTATCTGGCAATAACAGGCGTGAATGGAGGCTCAGGAATGATTTAAGCTGGAGTGCAGGTCTTTTTCCCGTTATTAGTCCCTTACCAGTGAAACGGGGGGGGGGCTATAGGTTTCCTCTGCGTCCGTCCGTCCGTCTGTTCCCGTCAGTCTTTCCCACTTGGTTTTCCGCACTTTTTTCTAAACGCTTTTAGATATTGAACTGAATTTTTGTATGCGAGTGTATCTTAATGAGTTACAGATCAAGGTTGAATTTCGTTCCGCTTCATTGATTTTTTTTTAGAATTATGGCATTTTGAATATTTATCATAATCGCAAAATATGATCGGGTTCGAACTGCACTAACTTCCGGTTGTCGACAAAAATATGAAGTGAGGAAAAGACGGCGGAGAAATGAGATAAATTTTCGTCTTAATGTGGATTATTTTATTACTTTTAAGGTATTTACAACTTGAAAATCTTTCAGTTTTACCTTGGACATGACTTTTGCTTATTATAAAATGACATCCTGAAGAAAACGGGGAACCCGGTAGGGGACATGTATTGCTTATGCAATACTCTCAGAATGCTTGTTTCTTTAGCATTATATATGTGAAAGAATTTCGTCTTTCAGATCAGTCAAATTTCTATCAGAAGATGCTGTCAAGAAATCTTCAGCATCACATGTTCTGTCTTTCTTGAAAAGAAACTTGCTACTTGTATTGGTGTTAAGTAGTCCGTCATTCCGAAACACTTTCTTCCATTTATAAGTGCATATGATATGTCTATTGCTACTCTACTTGGATCCTCTTTTTTCCCAGTAATTTTGCCTGCCTTGGGTATTTTAGAGAGGTATTCTTTTTCGTCCTCAGTATTTAAGTTAACAAAAACCTAAGCTTTTTCGTTTTCAATGCCCATCCAGTTTGTTTGATCGACCCTGGGTTCAAGTAGGGTATACGGATAAGTAGTTCCGTAAAACCGATTAACATCTTTGAAATTTAAAATCTGAAAAGAAATAGTTCCCTTTATAGTAGATAGTGGGAATATTTGCCTTATCACTTGAAATAAATCCTTTTAAAAATTGTCCATAAGAAGTCCCCTTTACAAAAAATGTTTGACATTCCACATTAAACCCATTTTGACATCAAAAGGGTCGACAGTTGGCACCTCTTACTAATCAACAGTGTCATCACAAAGGTCAACAGTTGAATTCTACCAAATCAACAATACAAAGGAATACCATGAGATGTGACGTAGCCATCACGTAATTCAGGTTTCAAGGGGCGGGGCGTCGATAATCGCCACAACATTTAGTGACAGATCGAGCGGAGTACACATTCCCAGAATTCTCAAACAAAAACAAACAACATTGCCGACGAAGACGATGTTTATTGAAACAAATTATTTTCCCAGAACCAGATAATGATGAAGGAATTTATGCAGTCGAAAAGATTGGCGGAGACAGAGTACAGAAGGCAAGTTTTACACATGCCTAAGTAGTGTAATTTAA